AACACTGAGTGCCAGAAAGGCACAATTTCCTCTTTGGGAATTTTTCCTAAAGTCCTTTCACACTTAAGACTTCTTCACTTCCTGTGGTTGCACATATGGTCATGATGCCCGGTTTCTTACATCTAACTGATAAGGACAGCCTGCCTCAATGGCACTGAGGATCTCACACGTTCCAATAGCTGCAACAGCATTACGTATGTGCGACCCATGACTGACTGGAATTTGAATCCTCTTTATCAACAAAACTAAATGGCATGCTGGCTATCTGCGTCAGATGTTCCCAAAGACCTTCTCAAGAGAATATTCTTTTTTTATTTTTTTTCACAAATTTTACTCCATTTTCTCAGAAAACGTCAAGAACACGCTTTCTATATGTTTTTGCATCCATAAGTGCTGTTTCAGAAAGAAAGGCTGCACCATTCTTTCATTTTCCTCTTCAGACATAGAGGAAACAGTGGAAAGTTATGCAGAGGGAGGTTAAGTGACTGGTTGGAGTCATTAACAGTTGAGAGATTATGCAGTTATCCAAAATTTCAAATCTAACTGTATTTTAATTTTTCTATTTCTTTGCCTACAAGATGTAGATACAGAGCATCCGCAAGACGCTTTAATAAAGTCCTTGCAACAGCCCCAAAATAGCAGCGATTCCTGTCTCTTCATCCAGTAACACTTTTACTTACTGAATATATCTTCTCCACTCCTAGAAATATTCTTTCCAGCATGTGCTTCCATTTTTGAAAATGGTACAAAATGTACCAAACTAAGTCGTGTTCTCATACAACCCTTTTTGATTTTTTTTATTCAACTTAATGCACAACTGTTAATGCTTGCTAATATTTCATAATCTTTTGAAGACTTCAGGCTGACAAAAAATGAGAAGTTACAATAACATTATATCCCTCAAAAAAGCCACGCAAAATAAAATGTTGTTTAGAAGGGTGCTTTTTTTTTTTTTCCTGGATGAAAAAAAATAGCACATTTTTAAGAACTCTTCAATCAATAATTAATATCATGCATTTTAGAACATACCTCCTCAGCCCAAAAAAGCTTCAAAGGATGAAGCAACAGAAATTTTACATTCAGTCAGCACACGATAACTACACATAACAATCGAAGAAAATGCACAGATTTATATCACATAGCTCTGCTATATATTTTTTTAAGAAAAGACCATTCTAGGCAGGTAATACAGATACATTTTCCCAACTAATTTCAGAATCTTCTGCTCTGCCAGTCCACTCTTTTTTGTGCTCATAACTAATATCTACATCTTTGCTTCTTGACCTGCACAAATGCAGTATGAAGCATCTGATTCCATTTCCTCCTGCCACACTCCAATGCTTTCAGTGCACCCTATAGGAATATTACTATGCTGGTTTTCATGTGCTAAAAATAAAACAAACACATGTCAACCCAAGGACAAAGTTGGAAGGAAACATACTTTAATGTAACTAAAGAAGAATATATTTAGCATTTTGCTACTAAGCAAGGATGAAAATAAACATGTCAACACATAGCTGCACCTAACTGTGAAGCCCACACCCCACTCAGTTCTTCCTGCACCATTTATTGTAGACAAAAGGTGGATTCAGTTTTTCTTTCTTCTTAAAAGCAGCTGTTAGTGCTGCTGAACCAGGAAGAGACTTTTGAATTGCAGCATGAAGCACTACGTCTGGCATCCATTTTTCTATCAATTAACAGTACTGTAACCATCCAAAGTGCATTTGAGCAGTGATGTGTATCAGGATTCTTTTTGGAATCCTTCCAAAACAAAGCACAGGCATAAATGAGAATTGCCATGCCACTAACTCCACAGAAAAAAAAGTGGGAAAAAAATAGTCCTAAATAAGAAAGGAGTTCTCTTTCGTATTTCTTTCAATGTTATTGTTCATTTGGGCTCACCATAAAACAGTACTGTTTCTATGTTCCCAGAGATGAATGCTCATCAAAAAAACGTGGACGTATTCTTAAATATTACCTCTGAAGTAAAGCTGTTTTTAAAAGGTATACCTATGTTTTTAATGGTCTAAACTATTTGAACTTATACCTTCAGAATGTGAAAAGTTACAGCTATAAACACACATCTTGGGGATCCTGCATCCAGATTTAAACTGAGACTGAAAGAAAGTACCACTATGCCTGCTTTATTTAGTCCTTCAAAACTCAAAACCAAAAAGTTGCTCTATTATGCCTCAGCTTGTTTCCTGTTGTAAGGAATTTAAGGCAAGAGCAAAAGCATTATAAATCAGTATCAATTAATGTGGTAGTTGGCATACTGCTTTTCAATCTGTGCATGAACAAAAGGCAATTTAGACTCTTTTGCAAGCAATAACTTAAGGGATAAGCGAAAAGCAAAGACTTTAGCCCCTTGTTCCTGCAAATACCACCAGAGATATGAGTATTTGGTAGAAGGCAGCACAGATCCTCCTGGTCTGAAAGAACTTCCAGCTCTAAGAAGGGTAACTACTGTGAAACAGGAAAATTTACTCAAATATCCAACCAGTACAGAGGTTGACCACTTCGGCATGTCAGTGTTTTTGTCCCACATCCACTCTCAGTTACAGATTTCTCTTATCCACCACTGTAGTCAAGATCAAAGATTCAGTTCCAATTTTCAAATACATTAATATTTTAAATATTAATGCTAAAAAGGTTCAAATAATCTTTAAAGGAAAGCCTGCAAAAGGAATAGTTGCAAAATTCCCCACTCTGGCAGGGCTTTAGGTGAGCATTAATGGAGCTGTAAAGAGCTTCTTCCTGCTAAATAAGGTGCAATTTAAATTATGCTGCTGGAAGTCAAACAGTCCCAATTGACTTCCTTGGTATGTAGAAAATAAAAGGGAAGATCAAGCTAGATATATTGAAGCTCACGGGAAAATAATTTAAAAAGAAGACCTAATATCCTCTGAAGATACAATGTGGTACCTACCTATAAACAGTCAAAGTTAAGAAAATCCATTGCATCTTTTCAAACACAAGGAACTGCCACCAGCTGCATTTTTCTTCAGGGACTGATACAAAACCTATCAATATAATTCAGTGTCTTTATGGATTTAAATTTTTTTAATTAATAATGTGTTCTTAATTTATATTAACACATACATCTGAATGTGTCTATTAATACAAATTATTACATGGGGAAAAAAGAAAAACATTGAACATTAGAAAATATGGAAATACAAGAAATTACTCATTTGCCATATGTATCCTATAGACATTTCTAAACTGATAATAAATATCCACAGATGGAGATTTAAATCAAGATAATGGAGATTTCAGTATTTTGATGCTGACAGTTCAAAGCAGGGTCCTTCCACACACAAATTAGTCTGCCATGTTTCATCTTCATAAAGATATTTATGGCTTTCATGGTAAACACAGAGTATTACAAAGATCTTAGGAAAAAATCCTGGTTATACAAAAGACTGCAGGATGGTTTAGCACCTCGCTGCTCATCGACCACTCTGTTTCCCAGTTCTTCAGGCTTGATCCATGCTGCCAGTGTGACACCATTCACTTTGAAAGAGTGAGAACAAATCATCACTTGGTCACAAACCTGAGCCTCAGATGACGGAGATGCTTCTGGGCTCACTGGAATGATGGCCACGTAAGTGCTGACAGCCCCATCTCCCAGCCTCCTTAGCATTCCCAAAGTGATGGGCAAATCTCTATGGAAGCATATATCCCAACTATCAGAATTATTAAATGGGGGTGTTTTTCTAAAAAAGAATTCCCATCTCCCACATGATGTAATTTTCTGAAATATTGTAACAGTTGCCTTCAGAGAATCTGGCTTCAAATGCAGTTCCCTATGCTGTCATAGAGAGTGAGTTTATTCGCCCTCTAGGAAAAGCCCCCTGGCACTCTTACAGTTTCTACCTAACTTTTGTTTAAGAAACCATTGATATATCCAGTTCTATGATCTCCTATTTCTATGAAAAAAGACACCTCAGTACTTAAATCAATGGCAAAGCTTTCTACTGAAGCCAAGGGACTCAGACATAACTTCACAGAATGCAGGGCACAACCAATGCTCACACAGAACAGCGCTGTTCATATTCCAGCTGTAAAAAAGAAAATTTTATTTCTCTCAGTACTATTAAGAAGACTAACAACATCCAGGTGCGTAAATCAGCTAAGGTTTTAAAGCAGAAAAGAATACCGTATCAGGGTTTTCTTGCTCGGCTGGTTTGGGTTTTTAAGTAATAATGAAGTAATATGTTCTACTTCGAGTACTCAAGCTGCAAAACACCATAAGCCACAACTACGGTCAGAGCAGAGGCCTCTTAATGGTTTCACATAGTCCAGCAACACACCCCCATCCCTTTGCAGAGCAATCATCAAGCACGCTCCTCTGTGCGTGCATTTATACCTCATTTCAACAGCAGAAACAGACATAAATCCGACAGACAATGGCTTTCGGCTAAAAGCAAAAGCACGGGAGGACGTTTGAAGTTCATCTCCCGAGATTTAACACGGTCTACATTTTAGGCTTTGCTGGGTACCACTGTCAGCAGATTTTGGCACCGTTTTGACCTCCTCTGGCTCCGAAGCGGCCCAGCCACACACCCGAGATAAATGACGCTGCACGCGAACTCCGAGCGAGAAAACCGAACGCCTGTAAGTGGGAAGCGCCTGCTCGCTCCCTACGCTCCGGGTGCTCCGCCGGGACACGAGGATGCCGGGCAGTACGGCCGGGCCGGCCCAATCCGGGGCTCCCTGCGGCCGCGCACCGAGGAGCCGGCGCTCCCCTTCCTGCCCAGCAGACCCCCGGGCCGCCCTTCCCCACCACCCCCCTCCTTCAACTCCTCCTCCTCCTCCTCCTCCCTCGCAGGCGGCGGTGCTGAATCACGACAGGCAGCCGCTCCGCTGCCTTCCCGCGGGGACGGCGGCGCGGACCGCGAGCAGGGGGTTGCGAGGGCAGGAGGGGAGCGGGGGTTCAACGGCCGCCGCTGCCGGGAGGAGACGCGAGCGACCGTCCCAAGCTGCCCCACCATTACCTGTCGGGCAGAAGAACGGAGCCCGGCGGTCCCCGCGGATGCGGTGCGGAGCTAGCGGCGCCTCACTAGCCTTGCAGCGGAGCCCTCCCGGGACACAGCATCCACCCCGGCACCCAGAGAGCTGGGCACTAGCAGGAGGAGGAGCGGCAGGGTACGGCCGGGAGAAACCATTCCCCGCGAGGGGGCAGCGCCTAGAGCGGCCGGGCGGGGCGAGGAGGAGCTGCCCTCCGCACGCAGGTACGTGCGGGACGGACGCCGAGGCACGGCGAGGTGCCCGCAGCGGGGCGGCGCAGGGCCGGATCAGCCCGCAGAGCGCCGCCCCCCCGCCCACCCCCCTGCGGCTCGCATTGGGAGCGGCCCGCGCTCTGCCCGGGCAGCGAGCCGGACGGAGCAACGGCGTTCTAGAAGGCGGAATGCTCAGGGCCCTACACTGCTGCAACCCGGGCAGCTGCGCTGATTTCCAGCAGTTGTCAGACATCTATATTTTTTTTCTCCCTCCCACTTGGCCTGATAACCCATGTGTGTGGAATGGCAGTAGGCCGCTCCAAAAGTCAGTCATTTTCTACAACGTTGTGCATCCTAGCATAAGACACACGACCTAGGGAGATAAATGCTTCATTAATAGTAAATAAAATGGAGGGACACTCATCATACCAGCATTTTGAAGAATATTGTCCTTAGCATTCAGCAACAAAGAAAGCTGACAATAAGTAGAAATTTGCTAAAAAGATGCAAAGCAAATAAAATTGGTTAAAAATATAATTGCGAGTTTTCAGCTTTATATTTTGTCTCCTAACCCTGCAAAGTAAGCTGATATGTGAACAGGAGCAGACTGTGTGCTTCTTGTAAACACTGGGCTGTACAGAGAGAAGACCCCACCACAAACCCTTCAGAGTACACTGGGGAGATGTTACACCTTACCTCTGCAGTGTGGATGTACAGCTTGTACAGCTGCAGTAACACTTATCACAGATAGTCTTTTTAATTGGGTTTAATTATAGTTTATATTGCGGCTTTAATAATACACAGAAACAAACAGGTACCATTTCAGTCCACAGATTGAAATCCACATAGTTCTTTGTGGTGGTTGGTGTTTGTAGGATTGGGCTTACATTTTACTGAAAGAAATCTCATGCAGAAGCAGAGGCAATGCAACCCCTGTCTGCCTCCATGTAAGCATTCTTAGTTTTTCTCACAGCCATTACAGGCTGCTTGTAGGAAAGGTTTAGTTCTCTTTCCATTTGAGCTGTTTGGGACATTGCCATGGGCTGCAGATGAAGCAATTTGAAATCCTTGCATTGTATGTAACCTCCAGGTCAGAGCTTGCTTCGGGCTTACATCAGGTCTCATCTTTGTTTCAGCTGTATACTCTCATTTTGTACCCTCCAGGTCTCTCTGCCCCAGAGTCAATACCCTTCTGCTAAGTTATGTAAGCAGAGGACTGCATGACAGGAAGCTGCACTCAGCTGTAGATTATAACTTCTGGGCAAACCTGGAGCCTTTCAGTATAACTCTTGCCCCCAGAAGGCAGCTCCAGCCACCTAACTTCCAAGGTGTGGCTCTTCTGATTCCCAGGAAGGCTGGTGCAGATAGATGCTACTCACAGCTGAGAAATCACCACCTATGGCACAACTTCCCAGCAAATACCAGAGTCTGACCACACAAATGTTTTTTTCTCATCTCCAGATTCTCTTCCAGAATGGGCTTTCAGTTGTTTCACCAGAAGCAGATGACATTCCCTTTTTAAAAATGTGAACTACATTCTGAATCAGAGTATGTAGTGCTCCCCACCTCCCAGCTGAAATGTTAGAGCTAGCAGAATTTCATAGGCAATTCCAATGGGGTATGAAATACTCATGTGCTTGATCAAGAACATTAAACAGAGTTGTAGCTTAAATATTGAGCTAGTTCAAATATTGAACATTGATGCCCTTTAGATAACACGTCAGTATAATTACTGTAAATAGAACTAGCAGTAAGAAATACCTTTTAGGGCATGGAGAACATCTTACAAATTTCAAAAATGAAGAAATAGCCAAAACATACAAACAAACCAATTAGATTAGAATGAATGTGTGGACACAGAAATCTGCATATTTCTATGAATATTTTTCCCACACTCATTCCACATGGGGACACCGCATACTCTTACGACCTCAGTGTTACAGCAGAAGAATGACAGAAGCAGTCAGATCAACCCTATCTTTTACAGAAAATCTATTGAGCACAATTCCCATTTCATTTTCCTAGTTACCAGTAGTGTCCTCACTGGATCATCATGGGCACTGTAATGCTTAATATACATAATCCAAGTCAAAGTTGGAAAATGTAAATTCTTCATATTAAAAAGGAGATAATTACTTCAAAGGCCACCAGGATTTGAACAGTTCCAAAATACACTTTGAAATGAAAACATTTCTCCTGTCCACTCAACCATTAACTTACAGAGGTGCAGTAGGATGCAATAGGATGTAGTCTGCTATGGTCTAGAAAATCTGGAGTTGCATTTCACTTCTGCAGATGAAACAGGTTGCATCTTCATGCAGTTAGTGCTGGGGAATGCCAGGGAGCTGGAATTCTAAACAATTTGAGATAACAATCAAAGTTCAAAAGCTTTGAAACAGATCCAGCATGTAGATGAAAGATAAGTTTAGCAATTTCAAGTGTTTGCACAACATTTATCTTTGAATATATTTAATTCTGCTTTTCTGAACAGGTGGATTTCCAGCTTGCTATAAAAGTATGTCCAAACAATCTGCACTGTCAAAAACTAACAGTTTCCTTGAGTCCGACTCCAAAAAGCACTGCCAATCAAGAAAAAAGGTTCAGCTCAAGTCCTCATTCTACACACTGTATTCCCTCAGGACTCTGACTACAGGACTTTTCAACACATATATGTTGTTTGCTTTTGAAAAACACCTCCCATTTCTTCTATGACAAATCACCTGCTCAGTGTGATAGCAAAATCCATCCAACAATCTCCCAGTGGTACCAACATCTACTAACAGGATACGGTGTTCCTGATGCTCCCAGCCTGTCACAGCTTCTCATCTCCTTTCGCTCTGATTTTCAGACCACTGTCTGGGATCATCTCCTAAAAATCAATTCTTAGCAAGATAGCTTTTTTTTCCCCCAACCACACATCTCCACACATGCCATGGGTCTGATTGTGTTCACTGCTGCTACAAACATCTTTTATAAGACAAATCATGCAAATTTACAAGCTGTAGCAATACAATATTGACACAGCCTTTCATACAATAACTTTTTTGTAGTCCTCACCACTCCAAACACATAATGGTGAAATTCAGTACTGATGTAAGCAGATCCAAAACTTAATGGGGCCGTGTCGGTTCAGGCACATTTTTGAATGGCTTTGAGACAAGAACACTTGTTTATTTTAACTACATAAATTATAATTTCAGAGTATCTTTATCTGATTAGTAATCAAAGCTTGGAAGTACTTGTTCAAGCAATCTTGTCAAGTTCCCATTTGTTGTCTGCGCTGCTTAAGAGAAAGGGGGACCTAGAACTTTCACATTTTGGAAAGACTTTTTTTATGCTGAGCAGCCATCAAATTAGTAAAAAAATATGTCCACTGTATGGGTGTTATAAGAAAAAATGAGGAATATTGAAAGAAAATGCAAAATTTCTATCTGCTTATCAACTAAGTTAATGTGGCCATCAAGGAGAAAGTTTTCATGAAATCCATTAATTGTTTTTACCAAAGGCTACCTATGCTATTGCTGGCCTTCATACCAAAGTGTGTGTGTGAGTGTCTTGTCCTTCACAGCTGATAGATACTTAAGATAGATACTTAAGCAGTATTGTCAGGAATTGCAAGGAAGAAAAATTGGCATACTCCATAGATTAGTTATCATAGACTATCTTACAAAACACATAACATACACTTAGAGTAGTAATTTATAACCTTGTTGTATTTCTCAGTAATTTAAAAATCAAAGCATTTTCCTTCATAAAAATTTTTCTCCAGTTTGCATTCTGCAGAGCATTGCTCCAGTAGCTAACTACCAAATTTGTTCCTGAATTCATAGGTTCAGGTGCAAGTTTCCACATAAACTAAGGAATATTACAAGGAATCCCTTGCCACAGAAATACAATGTTTTCTTGCAAGAAAAAAAGAGGACTATGGAAGAGGTAATATTTACCCAAATGTAGTAAAAGCATAGTCAGTATTAATCTGAAAGTTGGATCTCATTACTCTGTTAATATGCAATGCGTTAGCATGCTGATGTGTTAAATCTCAACTGCCTGCTCACTGATGGAACACAAGTGAAGAGATGCCAGTGAAGAGCCAGCCTCACTGTATCCAAAGCAAAGTAAGCATTGTAGTAGCAATGGTAACAGGAGGACAGTTGGACTAGATGATCTTGTAGGTACCTTCCAACCTTGCGATTCTACGAGCGTCATAGAGGGTCCTGCTTATAGGGAAATGTATAGCCTGATGTAAGAAAATGCATGGAATTCTTCACAACTACTTTTCATAGCAAAGAAACAAGACTGCTATAACTACACATAATCATGATTTTTTGTTTTGCTTCAGACAGTGGAATGTATTAACTTTGAATACAACATGTTAATTTAGTTTAGATTTCTTAATAATTTCATGAGAAAATATCCTACGGCATCAGAAGGCCAATTTGTCCAAGAAGTAACATAGTCCCTATTGCTAAGTGGTTATGGCTTACTTTAATTACGGTAGAAACAGAGCTCATTCAAAAATCAGGATCTCCTGATCTCCATTCGAATGTCCAAATATTGATGGAATCACTTTGTCCAGACAAGAGGTCTGCAAATTCTCCTACTCAGACTCATTTTAAAGTGACTTGTGAGCTCTGCACACAGCCCCCCCACAGAGAAGGATACCTATTGCCAAGAATGTAACAAAAGCACAGGTTCTGTCAGCCTAAATCCCGCTTTTTCTCTCAAAAAAAAAAAAAAAAAAAAAAACCCACAACCCCTAATACCTTCTGTACTCTTCCCTGTCTTAGAAGTAGTATATGTTTTCCTGTTGAATGAAGCAAGTTCCACAAGTTCCCTCCTGTCATTACTTTAGCTGTTCTGCCTTCTCTGCAGGTACATACTCCAGCACTTGCTGCTTCTTTGTTCTCTCTGCTTACCATTTTCAAAACCTCTTCTGCACTATTTTAGCCTTTCACCACGGTTACTACATTCTCCTCTCCTCAGCAGGGTTAAGA